TTTCATAGGTTTAGGATTAGGTAAATGAATATGAAATGTAATAAACTCCCAATGCATTAATTCTAACACCTGGCAATATCTGCGACATATTTTAAGTTACAGGGATATTCCTCTCTTCCACAGATACATATGAGCCACTTCTTTTTTTTAAATTTTTTTATACATTTATTTATTTTATTTTTGAGAGGGAGACAGAGACAGAGCACAAGTTGGGGAGGGGCAGAGAGAGAGGGAGACACAGAATCCGAAGCGGGCTCCAGGCTCTGAGCTGTCAGCACAGAGCCCCACGCGGGGCTCGAACTCACAAACCATGAGATCATGACCTGAGCCGAAGTCGGACGCTCAACCGACTGAGCCACCCAGGCGCCCCATACAAGCCACTTCTGAACCCACTGGCAGTTCCTCTGCACTCCAGAAAACAAAGAACCCCAAAGCAAAAACTAAACAAGAAAGTAAGTTATTGCGAAAAGGGAATTTTTGATTACTCATGCTATGAAGGCGGGAAACTGAAAATTAGTTATAGATACATATTTATTTGCCTCTTCAATCAGAGGTCCTGGATTTATTTTCTTCCCATTATTGATGTAGACATACCCAAAATACTGAAATCCTTTGGAATCTGTCTACCTTAAAAAGACCATTTCCTACTAAAATAGCAAGATATACTAAGTACATCTGAAAACACGAGGATATTCTGACTACACACTTTTTAAAAGAGGCTACTTTTAACTTTTTAGAAAATATTACCACTACTCTATCCCTGAGAACTAACCAGTAGACTGTAAAAAGCAATGCTCCAAACTTAAAAAACTGAGTTACTTTTTTTTTTTTTTTAAACGTTTATTCATTTTTGAGAGACAGAGAGAGACAGGGCATGAGAGGGGAAGGGGCAGAGAGAGAGACACACACACAGAATCTGAAACAGGCTCCAGGCTCTGAGCTGTCAGCACAGAGCCTGATGCGGGGCTCGAACTCACGGACCATGAGATCACAACCTGAGCTGAAGTCAGATGCTTAACCGACTGAGCCACGCAGGCGCCCCTCTGAGTTACTTTTTAATTCTGTTATTAAACCCCACTTTCTTTCAGTAACTGGTACTTTCCCTTCTGGCTATCACAGCTAATGAACAATGTAAAACAAAGTTTTTTTTTAAAGCTTATATACAGCTGCAACATTATTCAGAGCCAACCAGCAGATGGTTCTGATGAGACTGGCTAGTGCTGATTCCCAACAGGGGCTAGGTAACAGAGTTCTTCCACACGCTAGTCTAACTAAGCCTTCTTATAACACGCACATTCTGTAAAACCGGGATGGAACAGTATCTTCCCTCACGCTCTTCACGCAAGGCTTAGAATGTGGGAAAATAATAAATGCCATTAACATTATTGTTTCCTTTGCCATACACACCATCACGAAAAATATAGGCTGGATCAAAACAAATCCATCCCTGCCTAGCAGAAACACAACTAGAAGAATTTACGGAGGGTGCCACTGAGTACCTTCGTACACTGCAACAGCGGCTGCTACCCACTGAGCGCTGACCGGGAACCAAGCATTTCACTCCTCTTATTTCATGGCAATACCATAAGCCAGCTTAAGCACTGAAGTTCAAAACTCACAACCCATAACACACTTTGTTTCTGATCTTGTTGTTTGCTGTCTTCTGTTTCTTTCCTTCATGCTTTTAGAAGAAGTGCTTGGCTACCTGATGTGACTTCTCCCACTTCTCATGACAATCCAGGTGCCTTGATTAAGGGAAAAATAGTTTCTATTTTCTTCTCAGGTTCCCCTCTCCGAACAGGCATAAAGGAAGATGGCCAGAAAAATTAGGCAAGTATGAAATACTTTAAAAAATGCGTGTCGTTCTTCTTGTGTGGGGTTGTTAAATTCAAACACAGTATTTGATGTTCCCAAATACTGTTTAGATTTCTGCCGTAATTTGTCCTCTTGAACGATTAATAACATCCTTTTCTGCCATTCCCTGAAGCCGGTATGATCTTGTTCGATGACACTTAGTTTATCTTTTGAAATGGACGGGAGAAGAGACAACTGCTGTGAGCTAGAGCCATGGCAGGCCACGGTTTTAGCTCTCTCTCCTGTACGCTCTCAAAGCCCTTGATTAAAGGGACTGACACAGAAATTTTGGTGTTTTTTCACTGGCTTCCAGGCATGGATTGTGTACCGGGAGTAAACAAGGACAGAAAACTGGAGCATGCTGCCTCATTTATTGCCTACAAAACCTTAGAAATATTCCTCAAAGACAGGTGAATACTACTTTTGTTTAAAAGAACCACTATGCACATTATAATCTTTAAAAGCTGTTGTGTGCACTGAGTAATCTTAGGTGTATATAATTATGATTCCTAGAGAAATAAACTCGCCTCTGAAATGAACAAAAATTTTGCTACAACAAGCACTGCACAGAAGCCATTACAATATTCCAATTACAGCTTCAAAATAAATAAGCAATAGATTTTAGATTCCTGCTTTCCAGCACTAGTCTTATAACCAGAACCAAATGTACCACTCGTATACAACCAAGCTGCAAACCTAAACCGTGTAAAACTTAAGTTCTTAACTATCTTGGAAAAGTGAATTATCATTTCCAGAAGTTTTAAATGGATCTTGGCTTACTGGGTGTTTTACTAAACTATCATTTTGTGGTCCCACTAAGAGCACATGAAGGGAAGGAATCTAGTTTGGCCATGAAATCCTTTTCCCCATTAGGTATCAGCTTCTTGACAGGGTGGTATGATACCAGTACTTTTCAGTTCATTACATGTTGAGCTGGAAATGCTAAAAAAAAAAACGCTTGAAGGGATTAGGTGAATGACTTCAATGCATTCCAATAGACAAGCTTACCTGCGCACTATGAAACTTTAAGGTCCTAAAAATGAGAATACACTAAACTTCAGGATAGAAAAACAATGCAACACTACATTTGAGCCAGCAGATGTCTCCCTGTAACCCATGACACCAACCCAAAAGATAACAGGGTAGAGAAGACTCCCGCATTACTAGACTTCTGTGATCCCTGGACCGTGCAAGGGCATGAACTGTGAGATCAGATCGTCAGAAAAGTAAGGTTTCTGAAAAACTGCATATGGGGATATAAGCAAATACAGGAATTAATGAAAAATAAGTGGTACTTTTTGAAAATTACATTTAATATGCGAGACCTAATAGTACATAGGAATCTGTTTCATTCAAAATGGTAAAATGAGGGGTGCCTGGCTGGCTCTGTCAGTGGAGTGTGCGACTCTTGATCTCGGGGTTGTTGAATTCAAGCTCCATGTAGAGATTACTTAAAAATAAGATTTTTTAAAAAGTGGTAAAATGATTCTTGGCTATCGGTCAGGAGAGGAAAGTCAAAGTTCAAACAGAAAGAAAGCTGAGAAGTGAGGAGTATGTGGAATAGAAACAGAAGCTTAGTTACAAAAGGAAAGAGAAGGTTTGCACATAAGGAATGAAAATAAGGCAAGTCTGAAGGAGTGGGTAGGGGTAAAAGAGACCTGTGCACATTACTACAGAATATGACCAGGAAGAAAGCCATGTGCCCCTGCCACCACCTAAAAATACTGCAAGCCTGTCAGAGTACAACTGACCAGCAGTTGTAGGTTATGCAAAGCATTAAAGAGAAAAGACGTGAGAAAAAAAGAGGGAAAAAAAGGGATCAAATACAACAGACTAGGACATTCTATCACAATTCACAAACAGCGAAGGTATGACTTTGGGAAACCGTACAGCCACGTGCACGAAGGTGTGCATTGGCTCCTGGTGCAGCACGTGGTCCCTTCCTGGGGGCTTCCAACATAAAGGTCTGAAAGCCGCGGACATACCGAGTGCCCCACCAGCGCCCAGCTCTCACAAGTAAACAATGTCATCGGGAACATCTCCAAACAGAAGAGTTAATTTCCAAAGGTAATATCCAAAAATCGCAGAAGGGAGACATGACAAAACATAAAACAACAGAATATTTAGAGTAAACTACAAGGCGTCGGGGTGGCTCAGTCGGTTAAGCATCCGACTTGGGCTCAGGTCATGATCTCACAGTTCGTGAGTTTGGAGCCCCGCATCGGGCTCTGTGCTGACAGCTCGGGGACTGGAGCCTGTTTCGGATTCTGTGTCTCCCTCTCTCTCTGCCCCTCCCCCATTCACGTTCTGTCTCTCTCTCTCTCAAAAATAAATAAGCATTAAAAATTAAAAAAAAAAAAAAGAATAAACTACAGAAATTGTAAAACAGAAGCTGGGGCAGGGGGAGAGGAGGTGCAATATGAATGCCATCTAGAGAAATGTCTAGCTCTACCTAATCAGACTGTGGGCCCCACTCCCAGCGCTTCCTCCCAGTCCTGAACGGAGCTGACCTATTGAGGAGCCAGAGGAACAGAGGAGCTGAAATGAGAGGGAAGGTGGGATTCTAGGGCACCAGGACACCCAGATCTCCCCACAGCGAGGCAAGGAGGCAGGGACTGTGCAGATCCAGAGAAGTAGGCACAGGGGCCAAGGAAGGGGACAGTTCAAATTTCGTGATCTCATTCCCCAAACGGTAAGGAACTACTTCAAGAATTTTTTAGAAGTTTGTTTTGTTTCAAAAGTGAAATGGACCCGACACTTAATAGGTCCATCATGAATGAATGCTCAAATTCAAAAATGGATGAGTGTGCAAACACTTTGGGTGTTCAAAGATTAAGAAGACCGTAAGTTTCTCAGGCCAGCATGACAGGTCACACAGAGACCATGTCAGAATTTACCAATGGTTAAAAAAAAGAATTTACCAACGATGTTCTCAGTTGCTTTAGGAGCAAAGGCTTGCTTTTGTGGGGTACTTTCTTGGTTGCACAACTGGTTTGTTTTGGGCTCAGTTACATTTGAAAGAATTTCATAAGAGCAAATACTTACATACAGTATTTACTATGCACTGGGTACTCTACCAAGGACTTCACAAATACTAATTCATTGAGCTAATGTATACACACACCCTGCTATTTTCAGTTATCTACCTGTTCAGTGGCTCACTTTGCTCCATCTAGAAGTACCTCTGTTTCTTCCATTTTTGTCCTGCAAAAGATGAGGAAAATACAGTCAGCCATAAATGTGCACACGTGTTTTATACCATTCTTTGACATCTTCTGAACTCAGGAGCTCCAAAAGGGCTTCATTAAACCTTAGACAATTATTTCAGCTGCCCAACTTCCCAGAGTTCCTAGGTAGAGCCATTCAGACAAGTATCACCGGATGCCTCGATAACAGATGATTTGAAAAACAAAAACTTTAAGTTTCATAGGAAATCAACGTGCCATAATAAAAAGTTAGGTGCACAGAGAAACAATTTAGAACAAGGTTCTCCTTGACTCTGAATCTTTCTACATTTAATATGCCTTTTAAACAATCAAATTCTATAGTTCTTTTTTTATAGGTGGGCAGCACCTTCCCACACTGGGTGGAATAATTGCTATTCTAAAGACAGAAACAATTCGTGGATATGACTATCTTGGGCTTACTTAAATTTTTTAAAAAGGACAATGGAAAAGCATTGATCAAAACAGACGATACTGCCAGGGAAAGGTAGCTGTTCAGAGAGTCTCCACAGGGTGACGTTCACCTCGGAGAATTCAGGACTGACAGGCAATTCAGGACTGTCTTTCAAATTTCTTGGCTCCAAAAGTCTATCTCAGTGAGGTTCCAGAAATGATTACGTTTATCAGTACTGATTCATGCTAAGAAAGCTCAGAAGAGACTGATACATAAAGCTATACTGCCTTTATATTCATTTACAATGAAAAGCATAATTGCCAGACAATCTGGACACCTACTCCGTCCAGCTTGACCAACGTATTCACATTTCTTTAGTCAACAAGTATTTCCTGAAATCCCAGGTATAGGCACCTTACAGGCAGGTTAAGATCAAGCCAAACGAACAGAAGATTGTTCAGTGAGCAAATGAGAGCAATCACAATCTCGATGCCGCTGGCCTCCAACATTCTCCCTCCAGACAAGTGTTCCTAGCTCCTGTGCCACCACCATCCTCGCCCTATCATCCTTCTCCTGGAGAAACGCAGGATACTTGCAGGTATTTGCCCAGCTTCCACTCTCTCCCTTTTCCAGGCCACGATCCACCCTGTGTACAGAGTATACCTTCAAAGACAGAAAATAGGTCATGGCTCAGCCTTACTTAAACCCCTTTAGGGCTGTACACTGAGCTCATGATAAAGACCCGAAAGTGCACCCCAAAGCCTCGCCTGTCCCTGGCTGACCTGCCCGGCCTCCTCCGGCACCACCGTCCCCGTCATCCTCAGCCACTTCAGCCATGCTGGTCTCCTTTCGATCTCTCCAATACATAAAAACCCTCAACACCTCGGAGATTTTGCACACCTCATCTCCTCTGCCTGGAAATTAAGGCACAATATTCTGCCCCTCCCCCCCCCCCCTTGCCAAAGCACACACATGCCTAGTAACCTGCGAGTCTGGGCTCGAATGTGACCTGACCCCAAGACTGGGACAAATGCCCCTATTTTAAGCTCCCATAGCACCGTGATTTTCTCCTTCATAGCATTTATCACAGTTTATAATTACACAGTGACGTGATTTTGTTTATTCCTCTCATTAGAGTATGAGAAGCTCCACGCGGGTGGATCCTGTGCTCATTTCATTAGCACAGTCCACAAGCATGGACATTCAAGAGATACTTTATCGAAGGAAGGATGGCTTTGGGCCGTTAGAAGCTGTTGCATCCATCACCGAAACAGGAACCATTCTGTCAGGTAGACCATACGGCTTCCCCGTTTGGGTTCCGTCCTCCCCAGATGTCCTCCTACCCCTGCGATGATGACAGTCATATGGGCACTGTCTACATTCACTTCTGTAACATCACGGTTTCCTAGACTTCCATGGCCACAATAAATCTTAAGATACTAGAAGAGAAATAGCACGAAGTTCAAGATACGTTTGGGTAGCAACTCTGTGCAGAGGACTTGTGGCAGCGAGTTACTAAGAAACACTGTAAACAAAAAGGAAAACATAAACTGTGGCCAAAGGAAGCCCCTGATGAGACAGCACTGGCAAACAAATGTACATACACACCCGCGTGCACACAAACACCCAAAGCCTAATCCTTGGAGTGAGGGGACACGAGAGACTGAGTGGGATAAGGCACAAGCAAAGGGCCCATGCAAGAAAGTGTGACGACTCCTGACCGAGGCCCTGCTCCTCCCTCCTATTCCCCAGGTGCCGGCACACAGGGGACCTGGATGGTGCTGGGTTATTCTCCCATTTGCCTTACAAATCAACAATTAGCTGCCATTTCCTAACTCACTGTGTAGAATGCTTTCAATGGCTCACAGCTGTGGTTAATATTTTAAAGATGTTCTCCTAACGTTTTAGCCCTCTTACGTGACGTGAATGAGAACAGAACTGGGAGCAAGAAGTCCCACAATGCCCTCGGATCTAAATTCATGTCTAGTCAGGGAGCTGGAAAGGGGCAACTTCACTCATTCAAACCACAAACACAATGCACCTTGAATAAGCCAGGCATCATTTTAAGCGCTGTGAACACAAGACGAACAAGACAAAATCCCTTCTTCTCAACGAAGTAATATTCTAGAAGGAGACAAACAATGAACACATATATTAGTCAAAAAAAGCCTCGCTGAGAAACTGACATATGAACAAAGACCTAAAGAAAGTTTGGGATACAGTTATGTAAATATATGGAGAAAGACAGTTCCGGACAGAGGGATCAGTAAGTGCAAAGGCCCTGAGGCAGAAGTGTGGCCTGTCTAACTGGGATATGCAAGGGAGATGGTAATAGGATATGGGGTCAGAAAGGTAAGCGATGGGCCTCTTAGGATACTATGAGGCCTTTGGGTTTTCTTCTGAGAGCCCTGGAAGCCAACTGTTTTGGGCAGAGGCAAATATGCTCTGGCTGGGCTGAGAACAGACTGAAGAGAGAGCAAGACCAGTTAGTGGGCTACCGAAATAACCCAGGCCAGACAGTACAGCTGCTACAACTAGAGTACAGCCGTGGACGGGCTTCTAACAAGCTGATGGGTCCTTCATGGCACTTGAAGGAAATGCCCTGGGATTAACCCTAACTCCCTTAACTTGACTGATTCTAGTAGTCTTAATCCTTTTATCGATAACAGGGTTTTGGGGTTTTTTTGGTCTTAATTCTTACTTTTATAAAAGAAAACTTAGTGGATTGTTATCTATAGAGAAGTAACATATGATCATCACAGAGAGTGGAAAAAACCAACACACAAAAAAATCTTTGCATCACAGTGTGGAAGAATTACAAACAGATATAGTTTTAAAATCAGACTTAGATCAATATAATCTAACCCTGACGTTTGTCAGGTGTATCAGTTTGAGTTCAAACCAGAAAAAAAAAAAACGCTTGGCACATCACTAAAGAATGTGCAGATTTTCTTTCTTGCAAATTTTCTCCCTGAGAAACCCATGATAATAACGTGATGTGGAAAAAAAAAAAAATTAAGTGCTCTTTTTATTCTCTGCTCTACGGTTAATGTGGGGGGAGGGGGTGGGGGGAGGAGAGCGTGGCTTCACTGTTGTCGCGGAAACCATTCTGCCCCAGGGCAAGGAAGCAACTCTTCACTTGCTATCAGCAAGCCAGGGGCGGTCATCTGTGTCCTAAACAAACCCCTGTCTTTCCCTAAACAGAATGCTGCTGTTTAGTCAAACAGGATCAGTGGGCCTGGTCTCTAGCTGCAAACAAAATTAAACTTTGATTGTCAGCATTCAATACCCATAGTTGATACTGTATGATACTGTACCATAAGACAGGTACATTGCTCATGGTCTGTCAATCGACTACGGTCGCTGCCTCCTAAAGCCGTGTTTTTTTCCAAAACTTCAAGGTCCCCAGGAACCGCAGGTACCCTGCAAAATGCAGGTTCTGACTTGGTACCTCTGGGTTGGGGCTTGAAAGTCGGCATTTCTAGAAGGCTCTCTGGTGAAGCTGATGCTGCTGGTCAGTGGACCACAATCCGAGTACACAGCAGAGTGTTATTGTCCTGTCTCCTTCCCCTCTCCCTTCTATTCCCTTTGAAGTACCAGGGGCAGAGACTGAGACATCGGCATTTAAGACTGTTTCACTCTGTGTCGAAAATAAGAATCTGCCCTCCGTGGTATAGGATAATTAAATCCCAGCAACATCCCAGTCTTTTCTGGGGCCTCCTTGGCTAACAGATTCAATCTGAAATTCCCACTTGACCAAACACATAAGGTTGTCTTTTGCTTCTCCCTTTTCTTCACTCATCCCCTCCCCATGGGGAAGAATGGTCCCCAAAAAGGACCATTGCTATAGGTAAGCTCCCAGCTTCAGCATGAGGTGAGGGTGTGAAAGAACCGAAGTCACTCAACATTTTCCATCTCCTCCTTTTTTTGCAAAGAAGCTAAGCCATAGGTAACTGTGGTATGGCTGGGAAGGCTGGGAAAGCATGCCACGTTTATCAAGAGGGAAAGTGGATGGCCAACTGATTGCTTCAGGCACCAGCACTACTGGCTTCTATCAACAATCAGCCCTAGAGAGCCCTTCATTGGAGCCAACCCCTACCCTGTCAAGCAGATGGGTCCCATGTTACACACATGGCCAAACCTCTCCTTCAGAATATAGCTGGTATTTTCTAACTGCAGATTATTCGTGTGAAAATGTAACCTGAGCTATGGCATACCTCTCTCAGCCCTCAGCCCTGTGCTAATTTTAGTTCATCCTCAATAATTTTTATCACCATTTCACAGGTATGTATTTGTTAGTTTGCTTCTAAAGCAGAAGATAAAAGTGGTGAGATGGGGGGGGGGGAGGGGGGAGGCGGGGAGATCCCAGCCCATGTGTGAGAAAGGCCTGCTTGTTGTTTCTGTGGAGCCCTAAGATGACCAAAAGGAAATCAGGTGGCGGAAAGAGGAGACTGTAAGGACGCAGACGAGAGGCCGGACCCACAATCCCTGACTGCTTCCTTGCTCAGGGATCCTGTAAAACCACAGGGGGAGGAACCCGGCAGAAAGGTGCCAAATGACAAAAGGGTGTAGCGGCAGAAACTGTTCTGGAGATGTAGATCAATGCAGGAGATCATAATCACTTGTTCGCAGACTCTGAAAGAACCAACTAGAATTACTGCTGGCTTATGTTAAAGAAACAAACTATTAACCAAAACCTATTTATATATTTTTTAAGTTTTTTATTCATTTACTTTGAGAGAGAGAGAGCACAAGCAGGGGAGGAGTGGAGAGAGAGAGGGAGACAGAGAATCCCAAGCACGTTCCGCAATGCCAGCACAGAGCATGATGTGGGGCTCAAACTCATGAACTGTGAGATCGTGACCTGAGCCGAAACCAAGAGTCAGACACTCAACCAACTGAGCCACCAAGGCTCCCCAACCAAAACCTATTTAAAAGGATAAATGAAGGTAGCAGACACAGCGTGGGGCAAGACTTAAAGAAGCGAAACATCACCTACACATAAAGCCATGTGGCAAAGAGTGGACAGGTTCATTCTGTGCTGGCTCCTGAGGTTCTAACCCAACGGTAAAATAGAAAAGGGGACAAATTCGGCACAATAGAAGGTAAAACTTTCTAACACAATACACTTCCTCAGTCACAGCACCTTTTTTGTGTTTTGTTCTGTTGTTGTTTGCCAAGTAGTGAGCTCCCATCATCACTGAGCCAGTCTCTTTCTGCCGCCCTGCCCCTCCCAGGTATCACTCGTCACAACGGAGCCAGGCTGCACGCCGGTCCCCAAACACGGTTTCACGACGCTGGGCATCACAAGCGCTGTGCCTAGAATGGCTCTTCGTTCCCAGGCCACTCTTCGGTCTGGAGACTTTAGCTTCTGCATAACCTCTGAGTTCCGTGCGGTCTCTCTTCTGAGAGCAGGTCCAGAGCCCGCCCCTTGTGCAGAGAGCATCACACACCAGCCCGTGCAAACTCACTCTGCTCTACACACTCTCTACAGTGAGGCCTCCGAGGGCAGCATCCTGGCTACTTACCTGTGTCTCTGCAGTGCCAACCACAGTGACCTGGACCCAGTATAAGATGAAAAATGGAGGGAGGGAGAGAATGGGAGGGAAGTGAAGAGAGGGGATCTGATGCCTAAATTATTATCTGTTATGTTTATCATAGAGGGACTTCTGGTACTGAGAGGAAGGTAGTCTGAATGAACCTACCCTATGTAGAGAGACAGAAAGTACTGCAACATTCATTAAGGTATATCATTTCATGCATATTTTAATCTAATTATTGTTTAATCTAGTAATTGCTTAGAAACAATCCCCAAATTTTGCTTTTGCTTGTGCATATAAATACCCATATATACTTATTATTTAATAATACAAATGGTTTTCCCTATTAATTTGTACACAAGAAACGATCTTTCAGAGTTACTGGGAAACTTGCAGAAAATATGCCCATGGCATTTCCCTAAAGTTTGGAGTAAGTATATCATTAAAGCAGGTACGGAGGCCACTACTGGCAAAACACCTTGGCAATACTTTATATTTACGAAGTGGGTTCGAGCCCCGCCTTGGGCTCTGTGCTGACAGCTCAGAGCCCGGAGCCAGCTTTGGATTCTGTCTCCTTCTCTCCCTGCCCTTTCCACACTTGTGTTCTCCACCTCTCCCTCTGTTCTCTCAAAACTAATTAAAAAAAAATATTTATGAGCCTTTGTGCTAAAACTCTGCATACCAGAAATGCCAATGGTGTCACCAAACTTTCCCAAAATTCATGCGAGCCTTTACCCTAATTACTAATTAATACCAATAAAGGGAATTACATTTCACCTCTTGTTCTTGTTTTCTTAAGAATCTTCACCCAAGTTAATCTGCTTCTTATCGGACCACTGGCAACACTCAAATCATGACAAGTACATGCTCTGTGTGGTCACTTAGATGGAGGGCCATTCTGATTGGGATTTCTCAGGGGAGGGACAGACAGGTGAATAAACCGGGCAACTGCGGAACCATCGCTAATAATGGTAATTATTATTTGGAAGGATTTCCACAGACCTCACCACACCTTTCTGAAAGAAGAGTTGACAGGTGAACCCACACCTGAAACCAGAAAACTGTCCCACAAAGCCTGGTCCCGCATCAGCACTGGTGGCCTGGACTGAGTGCCTTCTCCCCTCTCCCCACTTCCTGCTCACAGGGGACTGTAAACACATCCCCACCCTTACCTCCCCGACAGCCTTCGCCCAGTAGTCCCACTGTTTCCTGTGGAGCTGCCCTGGGCTCTGTGGGTGCCACACAGACAATCCAATCCTGTGGCTCTGGGACAAGGCTTGAGGAAGCCACTTCAGCCACCTCCTAGCGGGTGGTGGGGCCATTTGCATATGAACTGTCACCCCCTTTCCTTATTCTAGCAGGAAGCAGGGTGGACCTTCTCCATAATGAGAACTTTAGAGTCGAGGAGTTAGTGAAGGTCTTTAGTTCACTTCAGGAGGTTTAAAAAATAGCTTTAAAAGAGATATTTCAGAGACGTTAGCAGAAGTTTTCTGGCCTCACATCAAGTCACACAATCAGATAAGCTTCTTTCAGCACCTCTTTAAAACAAAAAAATATCCTAGATTTGGAAAATGGAAATGAGCAGGAAGGCACAGCACACTGTCCAAATGCAGATTTTATCGTGCTGACTTCTTTTTATCCGACAGGTTTTACAGTGGCGGTTAAGAGGTGGCCTGTGCCGACTGATCCAGAACACGGGCCTGTTTCAGGGCCCAACGCCGAGGCAGAGCCCCGAACCCACCAACCCCCGACCAGCCACCATGCTGAGCAACAGGATGTCTGGTGGTTACTCTCGATCTGCGGCTGTTTGTAGACAGGGTGTAATTTTCAAAACAATTTTTCATTTTTAATTTTGCCAGTTCTTCCTTATAGTCGAGCAAACTAGAGGGGATATAAAGTGGCAAAATTCCAAAGGAGTTTCTGCTGCTTCTCTGAGTCCTCGGCCAGCCAGGAGGGCGAAGGATGCTTCTCCTGATGTGGGCTCATCTGGAGTCTGACTACAGGGCAAAGGCCCCCAAATACCAGTCCCCCATGTTGAATCCCGTTAGGTTATTAGAAAAAAATTGACCCAGTACCTACCTATCCCTACCATAAGCCTGCATTCCACCATTTGAGAAGGAAACAGAGGAAAAGGAAGGACGCATTCCTGGGAGCTCTCCACGTCCCGCATGGCTTCCCATTCACCAGATGGGCAAGGAGTGATCACATAGGCTCAGAAAGGTCACATGACTTTCTAAGCTTCGCTCTGCCCAGAGAGATTTCCCCGGGTCTGAGAAGCCCTCCTTCCACCTCATCCCAGACTGCCTCCCTCGGGACAGGGACTGGTACACACCCGTTCTCAGGCTCAGAAAAGAGCATACCTGCTCTAACGAGAGGACTTCACTAGGACGATGGACCAAAAAGAAAAACAAAACAAGCCAGGAACCAGTACCCGAGGGTCACACAGACCACAGGTCTCAACATGGCACATTTCCGAGGAGCCCTCACCCGTCTCCCCAGGACGCAGACAGCAGGTGTCCCCCAGACACTCCCGGAAGGCAGGGGCACCTGTGACCCGTCCCAGTGCAAAGGCAGGGGCGGAGTTCTCTATCCCTGGCTACAAGAACCAACAGAAAATTCCAGGGCACTTCCGGGAGGGCCCTGCCGCAGACCCTGAAACTGGGGAACCATGCAGGGACCCCTACAGTCCATCATCAGACACTGTATGTTGTCTCCCTGGGCTTGGGAGAAATTTGCACAAGTGCAATACCAAGGGGCAAATAGAAAGCCAAACTAGAGAAAATGCACAAGCAGCGATGGGGGGAGTGTTCCCCTGGAGCTGGGGAGAGAGAAAATGAGAAAGGAAAATATTTGTTTCTCTATTTCTTCAACTGAGGTTGAAAAGAAATGACCAGGAAGCATTGGTAAGCAAAGGGAGAAGGATGACCCCAGTCTCCAGCAGGAACAGAGAGTTCACATAAGCCTGGGTGTGGACTTGCTTCCACTCCCGCCCACCCACGGTTCCTGGGGCAAACAAATTCTTGGCTGAGCAGGTATGTGTGGGAGGCCTGATTTCTTTTCCAACCATTAGAGCTTTGCCCAGAACTACTTAATCAGAAAATTTCAAGGTCATACATTCAAATATGATGTTATAGCCTTACAAAACAAGTTAACTCTGGGGTCTGTGGAGCAGGAGTGTGGGGGGGTGCGAAGAGGGGAAAGAAGGAATTACTCATCACCTAATTATGCACTCTTCCTCTATAGTTACTCCATATTCTCAGAAAATGGGCAAACTGGAAAAACACATGGCTGAAAGAAATAATAGCTAATTTAACCTAATGCTGTTACTCTACGGCAGGCACAATTCTAAATGCTCTTTCTATACTAACTTATTTGACCCTCAGCAATCCTTTGAGGTGAGTAATTACCATTATCATCCGTATTTCCAGATGCACAGAGGGGCTGGATGGCTCACCCAGCCACCAAGAGCCGGGCTATGCACCCGCGGGCTCTGTGCACCTGCCACCGTGCTACACCCCCTCTCTCCATGCTCTGCAATCCTGCCCCTCAGAAAGAGCTCTTTGCCATTATGGACTATCTAACTGATTTCCCTCCTGCTGTAGAGTTGTCTTTAGGCTACTTTGCTGAGAGGAATATTACCAGAGCCAGTCTCCACCTTAAAGTACAGATAGGACAGTACCAATCCTGCTGCCTAAGAAGCCGTATAAGCTGGAAAAGACCCAAGGCTCAAACCACAATTCCCCTCACACGCCTCCTGATTAGAAGTAGTTTGAGGCGAAGCTTTGATCCTTGTTAAAATGTAAACGCTCTGGGATGTGTACACTTTATGCTGTTATCAGTTTGTGGGAAAAGTTGCATTGTTATCTTCTTAAATGCAGTTCAGCGATAAGAACTTTAGGTGGTTTCCAGGCACCCACTTCACCCTCCAGTGCTGACTTGTTCACTGCTGGGTGCCTAGAACTCACCAAGACCTACACATATATAGGTGCTCAATATGCCAGCGTGGGCGAATAGCAGGATGAATGAATGGCTACAACTCTTGCAGAGGCCAGGTTTAGGGTACATTTATGATGCATGGAGGTATTAAAGGGGCAACCAAGTTGGGCAAAGTATCACTGGAAAGGTCTAAATCTGAACAAGTGAATCACTGTCTGACAGTGATAACTTTGAAGGAAACTTGAGGCATGTGTAAATGTATGAAAATGATCCTTTT